TTTTTAAAAGAATTTATTTGACTTTTTGAATTGACTAATATTTAGTAGGCAATCTTAGTTCTGTTTGAAGTAATATAGGGAGGGAAAGGAAATGTCTCCATCCATTGGAATTTGGCAAAAGGTGGGTGAGTCTTGTGTGCTTGTGCTGAGTGAAAGGTGCTGACTTGGAGAAGCATTTTGATGCTGGTTAGGCATTAAGGATTTTGGGATTGTTGGATTGAACATTCACAACCCCGCTTGAAACAGGTTAGTTTAGGTTTGTGTTTTCTTTAGTTTTTTCTTTGTTCAAGTTAACTTAGCAAGGGTATGTATTATGCTCATTGGCCCCTTTTATTTTTTGCCCTCACTTTCTTTGTTGCATTCCCTCCTCCCCCATTAGGTGACCAGAGATGTCAGTTGTCTGGTAGATGTGGGATGCCTTTCATTTTTGGGTGTGATTTTTTTTGTATTTCTTGTGTTTGGATGAGGATGTGTCCCTGTGAGTCTTAGGTCGTCTGAGGGATTTTTCCGTTATTCAAATTCCACATTAATTTTGTCCAGTTAACTGATGTCTCTGACACATTTAGTGATTGTGGGGGGGGTTATTACTAATACTGTTTTGTTTAGTTTTTGTAATTAAATTTTGTTTACCATTGTAAATATTCATTGGGGTTTAGAAATTTTTAAAAGTTGTTTTTGTATTCCCCACCTCCAGACAAAATTGTACATATGGGGACTAGTCAGGACTTCATAAAGCTTCTGAGGTATTATGGTGGTTGTAGCAAGAATGGTAAGTAAGAATGTGGCATTTTTGTGAAAGGGTTATTGTAGCATGTCTGGGTTAGTGGTTGTGGCTAAGTTTTAGTATGACAGATGAAAACCAGCCTTTCCCCTATCCCCATTATTGGCCTTGTACTCTATCTGTACTCATGTGCAATAAATATACTTAACTTTTGGTTATATTTGGCTTGGACAAGCAAGAGCTATCTTTGTGAAAGAGTGAGTGCACTTTGTGTATGTGTTCCTCATTTTTGTTGAACTTTGCTACATTTTTTTTCCTTTTTCTTTATTTTTTCTTTTCTGTAATTCCATTTGTTATTCTTTAGTTTAATTCTTCTTTTGTATTTCTTTAATTTATATTTTATTTTCTGTGTTATTTTGTTTGTCTTTCTTCCTTGAGGAAAACTTTATTTTGAGAGTTTTATTTGTACATTTTTACTTTATTTTGCCTAATTTTTGTACTGTCTAGTTAGCACATGTGATTGTCCTGTGAGCTATTTGTTTTTTATGTGGCCCAGCCAAAATGGCTGAGGCGTCTCAGCAGCTGGATCAACTAGCAAGTCCCTATACCTCAGCATGGACAGCAGACAGGCTGCCACAAAAAGGGGCCTGAATATTACATATTATTGCTGACATCTGATGTAAATAACAGGCAAGAAGGTCAAACACAATGTGGGACATCTTGACATATCAGAAAAGGATGCTAAAACACTAGCAGGATGCATCCTCACCACCAAGTCAGTGAGAATGCAAACTGAGTATATGGGCACTTGAAGGCCCAAGATCACTTTGCATGGTGTGCCTATGGATATAGAGGACCTTGTGGGAACTTTCTTCACAGAATATGGGCAGGTGGAAGAGATTATGGTAGTGAGAAGTAAAACAGGCATTGACCCGAGGATATAATCCTGCAGGCAATAATGTTCTGTAAGTATTTTTTGGAGGTGCCTGACTTTTTGGAGCCAGAAAATCCTCATTGTTGTGGAGATTCGTTGACTCCACTGCTGGTCCTGTGGCACCATGAGACATGTGTCTAAGGTGTGTCCTGAGAAAAACACTCCCTCCAGCATCGCCCAACAACATCAATGACAGATGTGATGGAAGAGGAAAAATCTGACAAGGATCCTGAGGTCTGGAAGAAGGTTGTGAGGAAAGGACGAAAAGTGGATACTCCTCTTCCCTAACAGGATGTTCCACTGCAGGAACAAGAATAGCAGCAACAGTTGCAACAAGAACTGAAGTAGTGTCAGCTGCTACAGCAACAACAAAAAAAGACACTGCAACAACAAGATCAGCAGCATCAACCAATACAGCTGCCAGATGAGGGTATAGAGGTGGACAAGATGCCACCACCTTGGTTTTCTTCTTTGAAAAGCAGGAAGGAAAAAATGTGAAAAAAGAAAAGAAAGCTGGCCACAGCAGGACAGAATGAGTCATGGAACAGGCCAAGTTACAATCTGCCCTTACTTTGCTAGCTAGAAATGATGCAGCCACAGGTAAGGCTAGGAGACTCTCTTCTTCCCCAGATAGCTCTGATATCTCCTTCACCCACCTCATACTAAAAGAAAAAGAAACCTTTCTCCAAGGAGGAGGATATCTCTATGGTGGACAGACAGGAGCTTGAGAGGGACCTCTCTTCCCAGAGGAAGGCCCTCTTGAGACCCCTGTTTAAATTGACTTCTGTCAATGGCAAACCAACTTGTCATCCCAGGAACTTTGATACGGCTCCTGGAGTCATAACGACTGCAGGCACAAAAGCTTGGGATTTCATCACAGCAGCCAAAAACTCCTTCCCGAAGCTCTGGATGGCTCAGGTGGAGTCTCTGGATCTTCAAAAAAAATAGCTAAAAACTGTTCAGAGAGGGCTCCAGTTTTGATCTACCCCTCATTATACAGGAACCTGAAGTTAATTTTTCCTATAGGCATTGACTAGAGTCTCACCAATGAACAGATTGTGTCCAACATGAGCACTGGTCTCCTAGAACAAGTCATCAGAGTTCTGACTCCTGTAGATTTCCAGCCAGTCAGTGTTAAGGGAATCCACTTAGAAAATGTCTATCAAGCTAGTCAGCTTGAATGTGAGAGGCTTGAGAGATTGGGATGAGGCTACCCATATGCTTCATGATCTCTAGTCCTTTGGAGTAGATGTGGCTGCAATCCACGAGACACACTTTGTGTGTGACATTGATGCACGTGTGTTGTCTAGCTTGGCTTAGCATCAGAGTTGCACTCTTTCTGGTCTTGGGTGTCAATGGCAGATTATCTCAACAACACTGAATTTTCGCTTTCCTGGTCATTGAATTAGAAGTGGCTGTCTCTTAATGACGTTGCCATCAGATGGTGCAAGGTCAGATCTGCCTGTCATTGGTTTGACCTTGGTTTAGAGTAAACAGCTTTGAAAGCCTTCTACCATTGTCCTCAGGTGCACCCATTCTGGGACTGTCAGTGAGTTGGTGGCCATCCCAAGCAGCTTGTGTCCATTGATCTCACATACATGTGCGATAATGTGTCGCCTCTGTTCTCTGGGGTGAAACAGATCATGTTTTTCAAATTGCTAGCCATGGCAAGAATGGTGATGTGGGCATCGCAGATAATCTTGCGATACAAACATTATTCACATCAGGTTCTGGTCAGATTCTTTGGGCACCAGCTCAAGATGAAAATCAGAACTAAAGTGTTTGTTATTGACTGATTTCAGCAAAAGATGGGTAACTGTGCTCAGTCTGATTCGTGTGTATGGGGCTAGACTTGATTTTCTTTTTTACATCCCCTTTGATGCGATAGGGTGATTTCCTGTGAACTCTGCCCTGGTTAAATTAGACACTATTTGTTTACCTAGTTAATATGAGTGAGTGCTGTTCCCGGCACTCTCTTTTGTTGTAATCCATGTTAAGATTCCCAAAATCCCCAGTTTGTTTTTGTTCCCTTTTTATCCCGACTGGATCAGTTTTTGGTTTCCCACTCCATCATTTATTTTTCCTTTCTACTCCATTTGTGAGTGTGCTTCTTGATTCTGTTGAACAGCAGAATACAGCAGCCACTCTTATTATTTTTGACAGGTGGTCAGATCCTACTAGCATCTGTTATGTTTTAGTTTGATTTTGTTATATTTTTAGTTTGTTTGGGGGTTCGGGGACGAACCCTAAAACCTCATTTCATGATTCATAAATTTTTTATATATTTTTGTAGGAAAAAAGAAAAAAAGACACTGATCATTTGTACAGTGGCTTTGGTTAACAAGCTTTAATGCCAGGCCATACTGACTCCACTCATCCTTCAGTAAGCTTCTCTTGACCACTTCCAAGGTTTTTAAATCAAGAGGAAGATCCTTAAGAAGATTTACAATAGCTACAGATTTATACTTAATTATACAGTAGGTGAGGTGTGCCACCCTGTGCTGCCACAAGAATTAGTGTATTTGCACCTAATGAGGAGGCGGTGAAAAATTTTGGCTCGATTGACTTTCAAATATCTGACTAAATGATCCAATATCAGAATCAATTTTAAAGAGCTTGTTAGCACAATCTTGTATTTGACTGGCAGTCTAGTAGCATAAATGTGGCTGAAAATCCAACAGAATGAAGAATAACCAGCCTTACTTGTCTCCCCATTTGTGCTGTTATTGGGATTCACTCTCATACAGAAGAATAAAGAAACTAATATAATAATAGAATATCTTTGCAAGTAATGACTAAAGAAAATTATCCCAGAAAGCAGGATCAACTTTAGTTCACTGTAGATTTTGAGCAGTGTTTTTTATTATCATGAATATTTTGTCCTCCAGAATCAAAGCAAGTAAGTCAGAAAAAATGCCATGTGATTGTCCATCAGTCTATACATTGAGATATAATGGAAATAGCCAGGATGGACTCTTAGGTCACCTGGGAATTAACAATATGTTCAAGAAAGTATCCTACTATTTTACTTACACCAGGAAAAAAGATGTGAAGACATTTGGAAAACTGTTATATATACCAAATAGTAAGAAATCCAGATGTGTTAAACTAATATCAGAGTTCTAAGTAGTGTCTACTTTTTTTTAAACTCATTGGTGAAGATAGTATTTTTGTAATTGGAGTTGGTAATTCTTGTGTGTGTGTGTATATGCAGACACAAGCACAAACATTTTTTAAACATATATGATTTCTCTAAGACAATAGCTGACTGCTAGATTTTAAGTCACAGCATTCACTCTACGGTTTCATGCTCAGTTATCATTATATATATAGTTGTTACTATACCTCTGCACAAAGTAGTTCTTTTCGTCTTCCACTTGGCTCAGCTGAGGAAAAAAGAGAAAACTTTAAATATAGTGGTTTATTATTTTAATCATTAAGTTTTACAGATTTTTTTTATGAAATTAATTCAAATAATAAAATGAAATGCTTAAAAAAACAATGTTTTGTAAAAAATTATAGAAATTATTGAATTTCAAGAAATATAATACTTAACCTCTAAATGTAAATACATATTTTGCACAAATAACTGTTCTACTAGCTGCACATCATTTAAGATTTTTTTTATTACTAATGTTCTTGGGAACAACTTTAACACATATAAGTGAATGGTCTGAAGTGACCAGGAGAGGTAACATTTCACTAGAGCATTTTTCAGGGCTCGATGTGATGCAGAAATCTATGAGGTTTGCGTGCTATCCTCTTGTATTGCGAACACAGGTAGGTTCATTAATGATCTGTGTCAGTTCATAGGCAATGAAGAAATTTTGGCAGTATCTGCCTTCTTTATCGTTGTTCAAAGGGACTAATCACACTTTGTGTTGAATATTAAAATTGGCACAACTATGAAAACTAGCTGAAGGATTCTCAGAGAGGATATCAATCTTTTAGCAGTTTTGTTGAACATTACAGTCCCATCATCTTGTGCATGATAGAGAGTGAAGAGAAAGAAGGTAGTATGAACAAGGGACCTGCGAAAACACATGAATGGAAATCAGGGTCCTTGTTTTGGGGGTCTCTGTCAAATGAGAAACACATTCATTATGAGGGTGCCAAGTATGTTGCTGTGGTGATTTCAAAGATAAATTTTCACTATGAGGGGCAAGTAGTTAGAGATTTCAAGTTTTTGAGTAGATAGATCAATAATGGGTTCAGATATGAACAAGAAATTTGACCTCAAGAATATGAAGTTCCACCTTTGGAAATTTGGAGTGCAGACTTCTCACATTGGTGTAACAGATGGTGAATCTGAGGTCTACTTTCATTGTTGTGGGGTTAAGTATGATTTTTTTTGTTTGCTTTTGTTGTACGCATGATTGGATATTAGGTACAGGTGAAGATGAGGAAGTGAAACAATCTACCCAGAAATCAAGGTAACAGAACTTTTCCTTGGATCAGAAACATTGTGACTAAGCTGGGAGCTCAGGTACCAAGACAAGCTCACCTGCATGTAAAGACTAAAAGATTCGCTGGAAGAAGGATTACATAGGTTGCTTGGAGTGCACTAGCTTCCCCTACCCCTATTAATGCAGTAGAAAAACAGAATTGTTAAGTTCAGCTGCTCCTTTTGAAAAAATACCCTTGGAAAATACACAAATCCAATTTTCCTTATGCTTTGTCTAGACATTCTGACAATCTATCATCTCTTGTATACCATGTTGATTGACAGAGTAAAATAGGTAAACTGAAAAAAAAAAGAAGAAAAGAAGCAAACAACTCTCATAATTACTTCATATGTCAAGGCAGTAGCAGTAAAAATCACTAATTTCCATAGTCAACCTTACCAATGAAAGAAAATTTAACAAGTAGATTGTGAGTCTACTTTTATCAGAAAATTGAATGTAACTAAATGTATAAAAATGGCACACAAAAATATAACATTTTACCTTAGCAAAATTGTTTGTTAAAGTCTGTTGTAAAATTTAAGAAATTTTGAACATTTTTCTGATACATACAACCTACAATAACAAAAAAATTAAAAAAATACTTACTTTGAATTAACTGCAAACAAACTTCTAATGCATCTTCATAATGTTTCAAAGCACTCTTATATTTTTCTTCGATAATCTATCAAAATAAATACTTAAGATCAGAAACACTTTTCAAAGTAAATGTCTAAATTTACTTGTAACATTAATTCTTGTTTCATATTAATTATCATTCACATTTAAATATTGTTTTAATTGAAATTTATATATATATATATATATATAAATTATTGTCTGTCACAGACACTAATTTTATCACTTGCAAGTAAATATGGCTTATCTCCAAATTGTTAGCAACCAGGTAACTTGACATGTAACACATTCAGCTCTAATATCTAGAGAGAAGTTCAAATAAGTTACCTAAGGACTATTGGCTGACTCAGGGATTGAACTCATAATTACTATGTCCCCAAGTTCATGAACTAACACTTTAATCCACTAGGCTATTGTGGGACAATTCTGAGTGGAAAACTTGGAACCTTAAATCTCACCTATCATTGATGAGTGCAGCTGCTACTTGCTCTCACTGAGGCATCACTTTTTACTGCAGCTGCTGTTGAAGCCTTGCTGTCATTCTTTTATTAGTGGTCCCCATGTCATATTTATTTCTATGTTAGGCCTACTAAGGATGTCCTCATAGCCTAACATATATTCTGATTCTTTCAGATGTCTCTGTCCAGTATTTTTAATATATTTCACAGTGGTTGATGGCTACACTTTTTTCTCCATACATGAACAATTCTTGGGCCAAGCTGTGTATAATCTGACTCAATGGAAATTGGGCAAGCAATAACTGAGTAGTACTAAATAAAAAACCTGATGAGATATCCATGAACATGAACAGTGGAATGAGAAAAATCCATCCCCATAGATTAAATAAAGAGTTCAGTTTGAAATTCTCGGAAGGTAACCTGGATTGGCAAGCACTTGATATAGGCTAGAAGACAGAATAACTGAAACATTGTGATAACAACAAAGATCGGGACAATAGTCTGCATGCAATTAATAACTGCTCATCCCTGAAATTCAGACAGATGTTAACTAATGATTGTGAATTGTAAATTGCAAATTCCAATGCTATTTCAACTGAATAAATATTTTATTACTGATTTCAAATATATTTGCCAAGGGAAAGAACCATTTTATTAATTAAAATTTTGACATATAACTACTTTTATCATTAATTTTGAATTTGATTTAATGAAAAATTAGAAAGTATTTTTAAGCATTTGATTAATAATTCCCAAATAAAAATAAAATGTTTACCAAAATCTTTACAGTTTACTAAACCAAAAAATAAATCCCACTGATAATAGAAAAGATAAATGTAATTCCAATAAATGTGCTAGTTAACAAAATGGACTAATCAACTGATGAATACACAAGGGTTGGTACATTGATAACTTTATTCAGTTTTCTTCCATATCAGATTATACATCTGTACTATTTTTATACTTGATGCAACAAAATTCATAAAAATGAAAAGAAATGTAAAAATAGATGCTGCTTTATACATTTAAATTCTTGAAATTTCAGTAAGTTACCAAACCAAGGAAAGTTTTTAACAATTTGAAATCAGATTAACAATATGGCAGATAAAGGATAGTTATAATACATTGAATAAAGTAGAGTACATTAATGAAAGAGATAAGTATGATAGAAAAAGTACAGGATTTTCCATTAATGTCCTAAGCATGTACTTATTTTGGTTGTTAATTAATTCAGAGTTGCTTGTAAGTAATCCATATTCAATAAACAATAGTATTCATTTTATTAAAATTACTAAAGCAGAAATTTAATGATTCATTCTTTTAATGTCTATTAGCAAAAATTCATTGAAGTTTTGGGCTAGATTGTGAGATTTTCAGCAAGCAATCCAAAATTAACAGCCAGACAAGTGAGGAATGAATGCAGTGAGTTTTTGGTTGATAGAGTATGCAAAGTATTTAAAAAAAACCCAACTTGAACATGTGTATAGGAGAAAAAAAACCATCATTAACCAAAAAAGAACATTGGAATAGAAGGTTGATGTGGTCAAAAGAACATCTAAAATGGGATGTTAGAAAGTGGTAAAAAGTAGTTTTTAGTGATGAATGTAAAATAGAGTTACATTCTAATGCAAAAGGATATATAAGAAGACCAGTGGGAGAAATAAAGAGTGCAAGATACACTACAAAAAGGGTAAAATTTGATAGTGTATATGCAATAGTGTGGGGTTGCTGTTACAGTTTTTTGGGTACGTTGGTACTAGTGAGCCAATCAAAATGAGTTGACTGATTTTATAGTTCACCAATAGAAGAGTTAACCAATCAGAAAGCTCAAAATATTCAATGCGACGTGTATAAAGGCAGCCATTTTGTTTTTTCTCCCAAAAATATCTCCACTGCCAACCTGATATTGAAGAGATTACAGACTTCACTGGATTCCATATTCAGAGACTACGGCAAACATGGTCAACATTGGTTATGAGCCCAGGTTACGACTGTATTTTGATGGAGACGAAACCAAGAACGAATTATGGGAGACAAAGTTCTTAGGCTACCTTAGAATACAAAAACTTCATGACATCATTCTTTGCCAATATGACCAGAAAGAAGATGATGATTTTATGGAAAGAAATGCGACCGTGTTTGCCGAATTAATACAATGCCTGGATGACAGAAATTTGTCTTTGATAATGAGAGAAGCCAAGGACAATGGACGACGAGCTCTACGAATTTTGCAAGAATACTACTTGTCAAAAGGTAAGCCTAAAATTATTGCTTTATATACTGAACCGTGTTAAGGAGACGAGAAAATGAATCTGTAATAGATTATGTTATACGAGCTGAGAATGTCGCAAATGCCTTAAAAATGGCAGGTGAGACTATCTCAGATGGGCTGCTAATAGCCATGGATTACCACCGACATTCAAACCATTCACGACAGTCATAACTCAAAAATATAAAAAATTAACTTTCACTGAGGTTAAAATTGTGTTATGCAGTTATGAAGAAACTGAAAAACTGTAACAGTTGCATCAAAGGGATGGTAGAAAAAAAAACAACAAAAATTATATTATTTTATTATGGTCTAATTTTTCAGCATGACAGTGCTCATTGCCGCACATCACATGCAGCAAAAAAGGTTTCTTGACGATGTTCAACTTTTTGAAAACTGGCCAGCACAAAATTTATAATTGAGCCATTGTGGTTGGAACTGAAGAAACAAGTGCCCCAACAAAAACCATATAATCTCTTTAGGATTACTGCCAAGGTGAACATCAAAAGATTCCCAATGAAAAAATCTGGACCTTGTTCCATTCAATGCCACATTGAATTGAGGCAATTATTCAAATCAAAGTAGTAACACTAATTACTGACTTCATACTTTGATGTTTTGTAAATTCTACAATAATAAAGATAACTTTTTGCAAAGAAAAAGAATTCTTGGAAGGTAAAAATTTTCCATTGGTGGCCCAGTATTTTTGCATGACGTTTTTTTCGCCATCACTATACTTAAGATGCTCTATTACCCACTACACAACATTTACAACAAAAATGGAATAAGGTTTTTTTCTAGACCTCAGAGATCATAAAATGTACTGAGAAAAGCATACTGCTAATCACTCTCAATTTTGGGGTAAAATTAATAAAAATAATTTACTAAGGTGACCAAAAAGTTTTGCATGCCAGTGTATATGTCTTGCACAGATAGCCTCACCTGCCATTTTTAAGGCATTTGTGACATTCTCAGCTCATATAATATAATCTGCTACAGATTCATTTTCTTGTCTCCTTAATGCGGTTAGTTCAGTATATAAAGCAATAATTTTAGGCTTACCTTTTGACAAGTAGTATTCTTGCAAAATTCGTAGAGCTCGTCGTCCATTGTCCTTGGCTTCTCTCATTATCAAAGACAAATTTCTGTCATCCAGGCATTGTATTAATTCGGCAAACACGGTCGCATTTCTTTCCATAAAATCATCATCTTCTTTCTGGTCATATTGGCAAAGAATGATGTCATGAAGTTTTTGTATTCTAAGGTAGCCTAAGAACTTTGTCTCCCATAATTCATATATGTATAACACATATCACTTTGTATTTTGTCCTGTTCTGTTTAATTCAGTATAGGTATTTTATGACCAGTCCATAGCGTAAGCATTATTTACTGTGAAATAAAACTGATTTAAGTTGTGTGACAATTCCCAGAAAAACCACAGTATGTTGCTGGGGTAATGAATCAGGAAAACATTTGTACCCGAGTATGTTTCAACTTTCACTTTCTTCAGATGTGTACTAGATGAGTTAATTGTTGCTAAGCAGTAGAGGAAGTTGTACAGGTTCATGTTATATTGTTGGCAGTGAAAGGAATCTAGAGATTAACATAAAGTATTATGTAAAGATTGATAAAAGGTTTAGTGAGATGGTAATTCTATTGAAAATGACTTGTAGTAAACATAAATAAATTGAATGATTTTGAGTGGTGAAAAGAAAGGAAAGGAGATGTGCACAAGGATGCAAGAAGTGAGCAACAAAGAAACAAAAAGAACTTATATAAATGTGGACAGAGTGTACTCAGAATCAAGATTGTGAACTGATAACAGAAGAACTTAATATGAATAGATTATGTGGCAAATTTTAACAGAGAATTTAGGAATGAGAAAAATTAAAATTTCAAATCTTTACTTATTATCTGAAACAACTTCGGCTTCACATTTGATCTCATCTTTTGAATAATGCAGAGATGTTTGACAGGTTTATTACCAGTGATAAGATTTGGTGTTTTCAATAAGACATGGAAATTAAATGTAGGCAAGTGTAAAGAAAGAATTTACCTCAGATGAAAAAACACGCATGTCTAATTTGCAACCATGCTTTTGTATTTCTTTGATAAGATAGTTAATTACAAATTCATAGCACAAGGACAAAGATTTTCTAACATCCCTGATAGTCATTAACATGTGACTACATTATTGAAAGATATTCTGGAAAATATGATCCAAGAATGTTTCTTGTAATGGCATCATCATCTCACAAAGTACCTTAGCTTCACAAGGGAATTACTTTGAAGGTCACAGTATCCATTCATGTAAGCAAACTTTGGCCATTCCAGTAATTAAATTCTCACATCTTGTAAAACTGACTGACATATAAATATTTAACCTGTACTCTCAGGAACTAGTAAAAAAATGCCATAAGATATAAAATTTGAGGACAGTAGACAAAAAATCTATGAAAATATATGTGTCAGTTTTTCTTTAAAATATATCACTAATAACCCATAATATTTTACAGATAGCATTATGGCAAAATGGTATCTAAAATAAAAGTGCGTATGAAGCAGCAATACATCACTGAATTCCTCCATGCAGAAAAATTAAATGCATTAATATTTATTGAGGTTTGTTTAATATTAATAAAGACTAAATAGTGAATGTAAGCACAAGTGATGGTGAGTAATATGTTTCAGCAGTGGTTCTGTACAACTGTCAACTCATCAAATGGTGGTGATTATATAGAAAAATAGTTTTGTAGCTGAAAACTTGATAAATCCACTGGTGTTACTGTACTCTTTGCATTTACAGTTTCTAAGGAAATAAATAAGAGGTATTATGGTTTTTGGGTACTTTTCAATAATGCTACATGTTGAAATCATCTTTCCAGGTTAATATTATCAATAAGTCCCCTCCGTGATAAATTGACCATAGTGAGATTTGAAGCCATGGTTGAAATGTTAACATTCTAACCACTTGGCCATGTGCACATTAAACACTATGTTACATGTTACATCATTTTGAGACTTACAGAATGTAATCTAAAATTAAGCTGGATAGTTATTTATTTGATCTGAATATGTTTTTCTTGCTACTCTAATTCTATTTCTCTAAATCAGATAGCACAAAAATCATCTCAATATATTTGATGTTTTTGAAATACAAAGATAAGAAAATTAAGTCAACATGAAAACTTGTATTAAAATAGAATAAATAAGTTTACTTCTGTTTCAGCAATTTTTATTTCTTTTAATGCTTTCAACAATTCTTCTTCATTATTTGCCAACACCACTGAAAGAAATAAAACAAAATAATAGAAAAAGGTTTTATCTTGATAAGGACATATAACATAAATAATATTTTGTTAAAATTTTTCTTCAAAAAATTTATTGAATTAAAAATTAATATTTTCCTCCAACATTACAAATATAAACCTGGTGATATGATGCTATTAAATAGGAAATTAACAAAAGCAAAAGTCAGAATGAATTGTCAATAAGAGTTGCAGAATTAGTGATTTAGTTAAAAAATCTCTGGTACTTCTATTGTAATTATTTTTTATCTTAGTTCAATAACTTGGAGTAGAAAGGAGAGCATAGTTATAATCAATTTCACTCTCATGATATTAGTAGCAAAAAGGAAGTATAGGATAATAGAGTTCAGTTTATTTTACCTTTATTTTTCTGTGGCTAAATATCTTTTATTTCAGAGATAGGTTAATAAGTTGGAAAAAAATGAAACAGAATAGTAACTGGCAAACTATTTGCCTGTATTCTCAGTTTTTACTTTCCATCTCATAACAAAAATATAAATTTCTTTTCCTCTCCTGACATTTCCCCTTTTAAGAAATTCATACAAGTTTAAAAAATATCTATGCACAAATAAAAATAAAAATGGAAAAATTTAAAAGAGATTAAATATTTAGTAATTATTGGCACTATTACAAACTAGAAGAGAGAAAATATAGAAGAGGTAACATTAACCGTAGAAGAATTTTATGCACACCAAATTAACCTTATTTCACTCTTAGCCAATAAATATTAGGTTTGAATAAAAATGCTGAGAATTTATGCAAATCTTTTAAACTAAAAAACAGAAAAAGTTTTGAGATTTTTCATTTTATTGAAAATAAAAAAATGTTACACAAAAAATTTTTAAACTCAAGATTACAAATTTGTTTAACATTACTGTATCATAGATTGTAATATTACCACTGAATTGCTTGATGTAAAAATCAATTTCAGAATTTTATTCTTTAATTGACTGACTGCTTTTTTGTGTCTAAGTGAAACTGAGTGATAACTAAAATATTAAATATTTTAGCAATCACTCAGTTTCAGTTTTTCATTTTTGTTTTGAGTCGATTTTGATTAATGCTGTACCTAATATACATATATATATATATATATATATATATATATATATATATATATATATATATGGATTAACAAGGTTAGGGGCTTTGAGAACAACTTGAGATCAGACTTTTTTTATTTTGCAATTTGCCTAGGTCTAAAAAAAAAGTAATTCAGAAGTAAGATTTTCATTTATTATTTCACATCTAATAATTAACAATCCCCAAATAATGACACTAGTTTGAGTAGATATAATTTAAGTGAATAAACAAGTCAAATGAGTCTTTAAAATGCTTTTAATAAAATTATAAATGCATGCATTTTCAAGGAAAAAATCCTCCAAGGGGAAAATTCTAGGTTGCTTTCATTGCAAATTCTCAAATAGTAAAGAGAATCATGTAAGTAAAGAGGAAACTTAAATTAAGATCTTTCCAACTGATTCTTTTAAATGATAAAAAAAAGATTGGTCAAATTAATGCACTAAAAACAGATATAAAAATGGACAAGTGGAAATTACAACTACAGTAGTTGGCAATACAAAAAAATAAAAAAAAATACTATAGCATGAATAAATTAGTTATTGCTCCACACTTATCAGTACATGATCAAGAAAATTAAAATACTGTGCTCACTGACTAAAAAATGGAAACATGAGGAATGAAAATACACAACACATATATCAAGAATATATCGACATGGGTATATACAGATCACATATGAATGTTTGTATAAGGACAGTTGTCATTATTTAATATAAATTGTCTCTAGTGCAGAGGGATAATTGGTTAGTTTGTTCTATTGTATTCTAAATTTTTTTTTGTATTACCAACTACTGTAGTTTCCTCTTGTTCCTTTTTATTATATCTGTTTTTATTGCATTAATTAAATTTTATAGCTGTAATAAAATCTTAAAATGTACATATTTGGTTTTTTATTTTTCTCATGAAAGCAGAGTAAATGTTTCAGAAGTTTAGAATAAAGCTAATTTATAATTTATTTTAGGATAAGAAACAAAATTTTCAAATTTCTTTTTGTTTCAAAATTTGTTTTATTCCCATTTATAATTCATAAAAAGATTAAAAATTAAAATATTTAAAACATATTACATCAATAGCAAAAAGTTTTTAAACAATATTTATTTAATATTTATCATCTAAAAAAATTAAACTAATCTTAAAAAAGCATTGAAAATCTAATTTTTCAATTCAAGATTTTTTATGCACACATCACATTCACTTATTCACAATAAAATGCTTGCTTTTTTCTTTACAAATACTTAAGATTTCTGAAATGTAATTTAGATTCATTAAATATTCAAAATATACTAATAAAAATATTTTAGCCTTGCTTATCCTCTTTACTCCCAATGTTGCTTCTGTTTTCAGGCCTGAAAATGGTTTTATTTGAATAACTAAGCAATTATAAAAGCTATCAAGAGAAAACTTGCTTATTTGTAAAATCACAAAAAACAGAACTGTTTTTTTTTTCGTTTTGACAGGAAATGAATAAGAAAACAGTTATTTCTCACAATTTGATTATACAAATTGTTATTTTCCTTAAGCAAAAAGTTGATTAATATATAACAAGCATGGTGTTTGCTGTAAATGTTAAGCAGTTTCATACAATATTAAGGCTGGTTTTTCCTGTGGCAGAGACCAAAAAAAAAAAGAGAACCCTGGTTTCCTGTATATGTGTCTTCTGCATGGTACCTATCCACAGTACCACCTTCATTTTCATCCTGTATCATCCTCAGGATGATAGAACTGTTAGGTTCAACCAAATATGTGAGATGGTTGATAATATCCTCACCGAATTTACTTCAATTAGCTTTCATTAGCTGTTTCATGTTAGACACAATCATCAGGCCGCCTTGTCAGGCCGGCCTGATGATTGCGCTCTAACATGAAACAGCCTGTCACCTCTGAGTGTTGACTTCAATGTTCACTTATATATATATATATATATATATATATATATATATATATATATATATATATATATATACTTTTCATAAAATACATCTATTGGATGCGTTAGTAGACATATTAGCCTAATAGAAGTAACTGAAAATAGTTCTATGTGGATATGGAAAAAAGGAAATATTCCGTGGAGTGTTTCAGCGAACATGACGGCATGACATGACTGATCGTGAATGCATAGTGAGGTTCATGTTGCATTCTCAGAACATGATGTTTGTCGTTTTTCGGAATTTTCATAAATTTAATTTCGCCATTAGACATTTGAACTAGTTTATCTACAACACACTTGTATATTGTTATAATGGGGCCTCACATCAGTGAGGGGGGGGCAGTGTGCAACTGAAACCATTGAGAGGAAGGCCCCAAAATGGTGCACATTCTCTCCTGATGACCCCAGTTTAAATATAAATTTGAGAGGAACACATCAAAAGAAATTCAGTGAAGTCATATGCTGTAGAGAAGCTCGGTGGAAGTGTCATTGGCATGAGGAGCATTACACATTCAGCTTGCTTCAGGTGAGTTTCAATTACTTTCCAGTAATTTCCTTCTTCACATCATCAGTGATGTTTTAAGCCGAGGTTCATTAGGGGTTTCGGGTCTTCCAACACGCGTGCCATACAACTCTTCTTTTATATATATATATATATATTAAAGACGTTTTTATGTTTAACATTCTTTTTATAGATACAAGTATTTAAGTAAATGCTCTGTTTATAATAAACAGTATTAAATAACATTTACCGGCCTGAATGTCCGAGAAATTTTCATAGAAAATATTCGTCCTTTGACAGGATTCGAACCTGCATCCTATACGGAACCGTCATTTACGCTGATGTGTCTTAACTGACAGCGTAAATGACGGTTCTGTATAGGGTGAACTCTTCTAAGTTCACTGCTAATGTTTTAACAGTCATTATACACAGAAACAGTGAAGTGCTTGATAATAAACCCATTACTAGAGTGATCATCTTAGATATCTCAAAGGCTTTTGACAACATGTGGCTACACAAACTCCCCAACTATAACATTTCTAGAAGAGTCTTCTCAATTATCAAGTCCTTCTTATTAGGTAAGTCCATGAAAGTCATTGTTAATGACCAGTCCTCTGCAGCTCATGAGATCAATATAGATATCCCCCAAAGCTTTCTCCTCTGTACTAACCTTTTTCTACTATATACTGATCTAAGAACATTCTCAGATCATTAGTAAATATATATGTAGACAATACCATGGTTTATGGGAACAGCACCAAAAATTTAGATGACCAGAGCCCAACAGCATATCTTTCTGAAATGTTTATTGGGACAAGTTCACTCCAGACTTTAAGTGGAAATCATATATATGATCCATCAAGAAAAATGATTGGTTCCTTGTACCACTTCAGCACCAGAATACTTTACAAGAGCAGAGCAGACCAAAAATAGAGAACTGTTGTTGCTACTCTATTACCATTTTCATGACAGATATTCAGGTTAACTACATTCCTTGGTTCCATCAGGCCAAATTTTCATAGCTACGACCTGCCAGGCCATATACACTGAGTTGACATCCTCATTCCATTGGTCCATTGGTAAGAAGGAAGATTTACTCAGACAACCTCTTCCCTAGAACTGTTCCATTGTGGAACAGACATCTCAGATGATGCTCACAACAATCATATCCTTATAATATGCACTAATTGTTCTCTTCCTGTATGCCCTTACAACAACCCCATAAGTAACCGCCTATCTGGGCCTTGTATTGGGTGAACAATAGTAAAAAAAAAGTAAAATAGCTTCTGACACGAGCTTGAACTGACAAGTTTTTGAATCCTTCACTGTTATTTTAACAGAAATGTTATTTTAACAGAGATGATATTTTATTGCCTAATTTTGAATTATGATTTTCTAATATGAGGAAGAAATGGACACTTCTGCATGTGTTATTGTGTTTTATCCAACTATAGTATATGTATATGATAGAACTGCATATTGTTAAAGCAACTGCAGAATACATATCTGTTGCTGGATGTAGATATGTGTTTGCTCTGTTATTAAACAAGCACAAATGTCCTTAGTTTAACAGTGCCTCTATGATTCTATTTTTTTGTTAGTTTCCTTACTGCCTCATAACTTGTTATAATTGTTGAAGTCACCTGTCAGTATGAAAGGCTTCAGTAACTGCAGACTTAATTTGTTTTGTTCTGTTTTATTGATCGTCTTTATTTCTTTGTGTTATATATAGTAAAAAAATGATTATTGCTTTGTTTTGTGTAAGGTTGTGGATATTTCAACTGTCTGTATATTTGTTTTTAAGTTTACTTCACTGAGAGGAATGTTATAATTAATGAGTATTAATGAGCCACCAGAGACTCTATCAGCATATGTTTGTTTATGTCATTGTATGATCAGTAGTTTAATGTTGTTTTTCATTTTCTTTCAGCTGGGTTTCTTTCAGGAATATTATTATTATACTTTCTGAATTAGACTTGGTATGAATAGCTGATTGATTAGATTCGGCCCTTCCAACCATGTAACAATAAGTGTTGAAGTGGATTGTTGCAGTTCGTATGGCCACCTATTCATCCTGATCAGCCACCAGGATCCTGTTCCCAGGTATCAGGAATCACCACTCACAACAAGTAGCTGACCACATGGGGGGGAGTCTTATTCTCTGCAGAGATGCGTATTCTACAGTCCCAGTAAACAAGGCCAACAACAGAATATAACTTGCAGAGAGAAATTCATGATTTTCAATGTAACAAATTATGACACAAAATTAGTTTATGAAAGTCAATGTGCTTTAAACATTTGGTCTACTTTTTCTGAGAGTAAGTGTGGGAAATATAGAAATATATAACCTACTTTTTTAAAAAGTTGTTGTGTATAAAAACATTCTCTCTCTCTCTCTCTATATATATATATATACATATATATATATATATATATATATATATATATATATAATACATGGAAGGAAAGAAAAGTTGAAAAGCAACTTACTTAATTCATTCTGTGTTTTTGTGGTTGATGAATTATTACTTAAACAACTGTTACTATTTACAGAAAAACTCCTCGCAAGAGATGCTTTAGGTTTTATCATTTGTTTCAGTTCCTCAGCTCTGTTGAAATAGCTTTGAACCTATAAGGAACATAATGAAAGTAAAAGCAATTAGGTTAATTTAATGCAGAGAAAATTAATGATACTACAAAATCTGTAAGAAAGGTATGAATAAATGTAAGACAATAAAAATAGATAAGAAAAAAATGAATAGAAAACTATTTTAAAATGGAACAGTAAGCATGTAACATTTAAAAAAAGGAGTAGCTTTTATATATTGACTTTTATTGACATAAGGTATTATTGAAGCTGACATTCTCATCTTTGACACCTGTATTAATTAAAACAGGCTGCTTGGAACTTCAATGTTATATGCAACTAATATAGATTAAAGATATCAAACCAAATCACTGTGTAATTAACACATTTACAAAAGTGGTTCTCTAAAATAAAAAAACAAAACACCAAGTTTTATTGTTATCATAGAAGAAACATAATGAACAAACTATTAGTAAGGACTTTAACTTGTTTGCTCCTGGTTTATATCTGCTAAAAACATTTGTCAGCACAATAGGATAAAATCAAGATGGGGGAGGCCAAAATCTCAAGTTGCAATTTCATTAGTTCTCAAAACTTCTTACTGAAAGTGATGTTCCACTATCTCTAGGAAGAAACTGAATTTAGGGCTACTTATTTACAGTTTCCATAATGAAGTTTAGGTTTTATCTAAAGAAAAGTAGAGTAAGTAGTCATGGTTAAATGTAAATGGCTGAACTGCCCAACAAACAGAATTGATAAAGTCTGCAATTAGCAATAACAAAAAAAGGACAAGGCATAAAATAATATTAAGCAAGGAAACAATATATGCAAGGCAAAGCAACAGTTATAAGGCAAAAAAAGTTCACAAATAGTTTAAAAAAATAAGAACCGATATTGTCATATGAGAGTGCATTTGGATAAATGAACGTAACATTCTGGCTGCAAGACAAGACAGAACTTTTCTTATTTTTATTTTTAAAATTTTCTTCTTTTTTTTTCTTCTAAATTTTTTTTTATAAAAGTGGGTATAGAAAAAATAGAGGAAAGAAAACCGAGGGAATAAAAAAATGTGGTAAACAAAAGAGCATTAAAAATGTGTGCAATTTTAATCTGCATATAGGTTTAGTAAATAAATTGGCAACATTTTGATTTAAGTATTGTATTATTTTCTTCAACTGAAAGTAAAGCATTGTCAAATGTAGTAGGAATTTCAAAGTTTTCAGTAAATCCTACACATCTGACTCTTTTGATGCTCTTAGTTTTTGGTATATATATTAGATATATAGTAGCGTGGGGCTTAGGGATTAAAATGAGCAGTTGATTTACACATGCCAAGAAGATTAATGAAGGATGATAATGGCAAGGAAACACACAGGTAATTTTAACAAAACAAGATAAGGAATTTATTCACAAATTTACACAATTGAAGTAATGTCAGTAACTCATTTCAGGAAAATAAATCAAAATTCTTAAAGTTCGTAGTTTTAACATAGTGTCATGAAGAGGAAATGTTCATACAATAGATTAAATGATCTGACACAAAATAATATTCAAAATATTTAAGGCAAAGGTGAGAGAGTTTGTTGCTCATAAAGGGGATATATGGTTTGCATATGGTCAAAAGTAAATGAAGAGAGTTAGTTTGAAATACTTAGCTTTCTTGTATTGTTGAAAGAAAATTTTTTGACATGCCACATGTGGGCTGATAATATAATTGGTGAGTAGTTTTTAGTGATGGGACAATTGGAATTGAGAATCAGAGATATCTGATCTTTTTGAGGTATTGAAATCAGCATTGGAGAATTTTTAACCTAATTTCCAATTCCAAAAATGATTCTTTGGATTTTTTTTTGTTTAAAACTTAATTTTCCATTCCATTAATCATAAAAAGATATACATATTTATTGATTTTAAACTATAAGTAAAACTAAAATCTATAGATCACAATAACACCTATGTGAAGTATGATGTAAATTTATTTTACTTGTGTAAAAAAAAAAGAAAAAAAAAACAAAAAAAATGAAATTTGCAAGTTTCTACTCAGTTCATGAACTTTCCATAAAATTCACTAGTTTAAAGTCTGTTTCAGTTCAAAACAAAATTTTTATTTTTAATTTCTTTTTAAACACTGTTAATTCACCCATTTAATATTATAAATTATTAATTTAATAAATATAATCAAAATTATGTAATATAAACACAAAATGAATTCTTCTTGTTATTCTGCTGGGCTCTCTTTTAAGAAAAATTTTATTATTTTTTTAATTTATAAAAAAGAAAAAAAATGATGTATGAAATTCCTGCCAATGTGACATTTGATTTCTTCACATAAAAATTGACCTTGTGTTACAATTGTCCTTGTGATGAGGTAGTTAAATTACAACAATTTCTTTTTATAATAGTTTAATCCATAAAATCATTTTAGTCTGAGTTATTGAAAAGATTTATTTTTGTTTAAGTACCATACTATGTAAACAGAAACAAATCTTCTTTTCAATAACCAAGACTTAAAAAGTAAACACTTTTTTTATGAAACTTAAAAATTCTTGGACAGCTGAAGTCTGCCCTGGTCCAACAGTACGCCAGTGAGCGCACGGCCATTGAGGCAGTTAGGAAGTTGTTCAGACTCCCGCAGGGAGATAAGGAAGCCATGGAGGATCTAGGAGAGAGAATAGTGGGCTTAGCAGCACTGGCATTCCTGGAGCTGACGACCCAAAACAGTGGTTTGATACAGGCCCTGTTAGCTGACGTTTACATGGATGTGTTGAGTGATAGGGAGCTGCAGGGTGGCGTCCTGAAGGTAGGACCGAGCATCTTGGCCGTGACCATTGAAGCAGCTCACAACAGAATATGACTTTGGGACAGAATAAGGGGTAGCATGGCCAGGGACCCCAGGGGTACCAAGATAAGGAAAAAGAAGGAGCAGGTTTGGGCACAGGACCCAGAAGAAGAAGTAGAGGAAAATTGGGAATTGGAGGGGCAGAGTCAAATAAACGAGAATGGGACTTGCAGTATGGATTCTATAAATCCACGCCAGGCCAGTATGGGCTAGTGTGCTGGACATGTAAATATGCTGGGCACAGGGCTCAGGATTGTCCAACAAATTGGGGAGGAGACCCCAGGTCTCTAAGACCCAATTGTACGACCTGTGACGAATACTGGCACAAGGCTCGATGGTGTACGGCGGCAGGGGACCGTAAATTAGGTATCAAGCAGACTAATGTGCTGTTACCAGGAAAGAAAAGAGCCCCAGAAATGCCGTTGGGTCACCCGTGAAGGAGTAGGAGGCAGGGTGACCACAGTCCGAGCAAGACCTCTGAAATGTTGGACATGTGGAGTGGTTGATCATTTATCGGCTGATTGTCAGCGGAGAAGATGCTGGCATTGTGGGAGCACAGGCCACATGAGGCGAACCTGCCCCCACAAAGGAAGGAATTCCCCAAGACGAACCAGTCAGGATAGAAATGAATTGGAGGGACAGAGGGGTAGAGTGGAAAGGTGCTATCATCCAAACCCCATCCCAGCCAGAGGTGCCCCCAGACAAGAAATGGGACCTTGAAAAAATAAGGACCCCCGTTGCTGACCACCGCCTCTCGGTAGTCCAGAGGGGAGGCGAATAGAAAGGAATTTGGGAATGGAAGGAAGGCCCGAGTGTACCATTTGCTAAAAGAGGGGCCAGATTTCACCTGCAATGTCTTGCTAGGAGGCAAGAAGGTTCAGGCCCTGGTTGATACTGGAGTATCAGTATCACTGGTTAGTTCCAGACATAAACAGTTAGGGAGAAGGGAAAAGTTGAGGCCAGTAGATTTATCCATAAGCCGATAGCAGCAGAATGTGGATAGAGGGTATGACATGGCTGCCATTTCAATTAGCAAGGACTAGAGGTGTCATAAAGGTATATGTAGCACCTGACCTGTGTGGCGAGTTGATTCTGGGGAGTGACTTGCTTAAACAGCATAAGGTCCAGATCCGTTTCGACCCAGCTACCCTGACCTTGGATGGGGTAGGGATACGGCTAGCGGAAGACAATTATGAGCAGCTACCTGTAGTAGCCCAGGCAGATATAAAGTTGCCCCCTTGAACCACTGTATCTGGGGAAGGTGAAATTATAGTAGAGGGAGCCCTGAATGACGGGTTGTATCAGGTAATCCCCACAGACAGGTATGATAATAATGAGGGAGAAGTGACAGTATGTAGTTCACTAGTGAAAGGATCAAGGACCATACCCCTGCTTCTGATTAATTCAGCTAATAAAACCATCAGAATAAAGTGAGGAGAAGAGTTAGCATGGTCTTGCCCCATAAGAGAAGTCGAACAGGTGAGGATAAGAAACGAAAATAGGTCCGGGAACAAGACAGACAGTGGAGATGAGGATAGACACTGGTGACCATTCACCTATCAAGTTAAGGCCATATAGAATCCCAATCCACAAAAGGAAATTAGTAGAGGAGGCAGTGAATGAGATGATGGACTCGGAGATAATTGAGAGACTCAAATCTCCCTAGAGCTTCCCTATAGTGATAGTGGAAAAGAAAGATGGAGGGCACAGGTATTGTGTTGATTTTCACCAGCTGAACACGATTACAAAACTTCTCCCCCTGATTGATGACATTTTGGCTCTCCTAGGGAAATTTAAGTGTTTTTCCACCCTGGATTTGAGATCGGGTTATTGGCAGGTGGCCCTGAACAAGGAGGACCAAGAAAAGACTGCGTTCACCTGTCACATGGGTCTTTTCAATTTTAGGGTTATGCTGTTTGGGTTGGCAAATGCCCCGGGTGTGTTTAGTCAGCTCATGTCCATAGTGTTGAATGGCATGGAGACATTTGCCATGGCATATCTAGATGATATCATGGTATTTTCAAAATCACCTGAGGAGCATTTTGAACACCTAAGGAGGCATGGCTTGAAGCTGAAGCCATCAAAATGTCAGTTTCTAAAAGAGGAGACAAAATACCTAGTGTCCGTGATAAATAAAGACGGAATAAAGACCAACCTAGACAATATAGAGGTAATAAGGGTCATGCCCACGCCAAAAACTGTA